ATTTTGAAAAATAAACGCTGATGTGTTATGCAGTTGCTTTATAACTAGACAGGGAATCTTTATGCAAAAAAATTTCCTATATTTATGTATACATTTCTTTTTAAGTTAGCGAGAACTGCAGTCTCCAAGTAACATGATTTTACGCAGATTTTACAGTCCATAGTGTCCATCAAAACTACTTAAAACGATTTCATCTTATCGAATAAGTTTCGAATATATATATATATATACTTCTGCAGCAGCTGACTAGTGCCACGAAATATTTGTAGTGTTTTTACCTCAAGATTTTTTTCACATTCTAACCGCCAACGCAGCGTAATCTATTAAACTCGCCACTGTCATATTTAAAAAAAAAAAGCCGGATATCACAATAGATTAAAGCAAAATATAAATTGCAAAAACAAAACGTTGGTCAGGAAATTTCTTTACCAAACCCTTTTAGTTCGTAGCGTAGCTAGTTCGTAGCGTAGAGAAATGAGACTTTACTACTGGTAGGTTTTGAAGCCTTTTGGTAGCGATTTTGGTACGAAAAATACATGCCTAAATAGTAACACTGGAAGCAGTACAGATAGGTAGTAGGTTTCGCGCATTTAAGATTCCACACAAGAAAAACTTCTGATACTCAGGGCAACTACATCCCTCGAAACTTGCCGGTGATGTGCTATAACTAATTGCAGACCACGAATATGTACTTAGCCTTTGGCCTCGTTACCAAGCAGTTCGATGTGATGTGTTCATAATAAACCCAGTTCCGTATGTTTTTCAACACAATTTAGCCAACTGTGCCAACTAATGCCCTGAGTGCAGCCACTATAGACACAAGATTTCTGTCTCTCACTCTATGCGTGAACAAGTGGCACATTCTATCGAAGGTGGACGTGGCAAAAGCACCCTCGATGTGTATATACGCAAAAATGCCCAAGGTGAATTGTTTCTTGCTAATTCTGGCCACCCAATCCTCAATTAATTATAAGCAATATTTTGTTAGTAGTAATTGTTTATTTTTATTTCACAATTTTAATTTTCTTTTTTGTTTCTGCACACTTTATACAAAGTGAAGCTATGTATTACTGAAACTATAATTACAAATATTTCTTCCGATTTACTAAGTATGACATATACAGCCAACTAGCTGACTTTTTGTTTTTAATCATTGAGTATATAAATAATCATTGATATGCAGCATATAGACCAAACTTAATTACATATTCAGCTAAAGGTAAGTTGGCTACATACATATTTTTACATACACACAATGCAAATTTTTTCTACATCCCACATACTTGAGAGCTTTAATTTCGATTAAACACCATTACTGATTATTGTATTTTGTTTTTTTTTTTTTTTTAAGGCGAGCAATAAGTTGAAGCTAGTATTTAGAGTAAATATTTTATCTGTTAGTAGCTTATTTGTTCTGATTGTTACTAATAGAAAAAGTAAGTTTTTTTTTATGTTAATCGCGGCAAACTTCAATTTAAATTTTTTAATTAAAGCAAAGCAGATAAGCTCGTAGATTGCTAAAAAAAAAAATGGTTTATTATTTATTAATTCGTTTAATTTGTGCGCATAATTGTGCATTTGTTCAGTTTGACTGGAATTAGGAGCAATCACTTTTAGTGACATTTTCGCTTTGCAACTGTTATCACACTGCAAATGCTAATTCGTTAAGTTCTTATTATTATGTTCTTAATTATTTCATGCCAGTATATATGTATGTACACATCATTTTATACATTTATTTTCGTATGTAAATGTTAGATAGTAAGCAAATTGCAGTAAAGTCCCACCACCCACATACAAATATACATATGTACAATACATTTAGACATTTGTATGTATGTACACCGCCTAAGATGTTAATTCAAATTTCGAGCGTCAAGAAGCGCAAAGTAATTAATTATTCATTATGTAAAGTGTAATCAAACTTTTCCAGCTTTTTCACACACAAATATTTTACTTAGCCTAGTTTTACAGATAGTGTAATTTTACAGTATTTGCTTTTGTTGTAGTTGTACCCTCAGCGATTATTTATTTTTTCTTGCGAACGAAGAAAGCGTGAAATAAATGAAAAAGTTTGAAATTGTCTAATACATAAATATTTTTTAAAGCGATACTTCAATGTGTAAGCACAGTTTTTAAGCACATTTTGTGGAGTTTTGGAAGTAAATAGTAAGTTAGATGCTCGCTTTTGTTAGATGTGGTTTTAAAACAATCAAACGATTTTTGACAATTTATAAAACACGAATACTAAGTGATATCAGAAGATACCATATGCCATTTTCACGCTGATATAACTTGACTAAAAAGGAAGGTAAATATGTATCTAAAGTGTAACCCAAAAATTTTTCATTAGCCGGATGAATGAACGAACAAAAATGGACCCCCCTTCAGTTGCAGGCTCGTCAAGAGTTCAATGGCTCGCACTTGCACACTCAAAATCAAACAGTTCGTTCACAAATGGAATTTGTATAAATAATAAATTCATCTTATCAACAACGCAGAGTTGATTGATTGAGTAGTTCAATTTATCATGAAATGTCACTAACTGCTGCTGGTGGCAAATAACTACCGGTAAAAAAAAAATAATCATAAAACCCATATAGGCACTTACTACTTACATAGAGGGGCAACCAAAAATATTATGTTAAAACATTAAAAAAAAAAAATATGTGAATATTGCGTATGAAACTATACCGCTATTATATGATAAACGAGAGTGCTAGACGCATTGAAAGCTACTGTCCGCCAAAGAGTTGCACTCGGCATTTTAGTTAGCTGGGTGTGTTGCGGTAAACCACTGACTAAATAATTGCGTGCCGTTGCCTAAATTCGGACACAGCCAGTCATTTTCCCACAAACGGTATCTATGGTGTAAGTGCGTATGTATGTATATTTGTGAATCTGTGGCCAAATCGACCAACTTTGCCGCAACCACTGTGGTGGCAAATATTTAATATCAACTCATATGAGTTCGCTTAGTTGAATTTGCTTTGGCCGAAAATTTATTTTATCTACATATCTATGCACGTAGCTGGCCCAGAACTAATAGAAATTGTCACGAAATACTCGCAAACTGGGAGCAGCATAGCCACTGAATTGTTGACTGAGTGGGTGTGACAGATATGAAACTGAAATTTAGGTGTGCAAATTTGATATGACTGTAGGAAAAACTGTGGTAGGTGAAATTTCTAGTCTAAGAGGTATTAAAGTGAAGTTTACTATATTTTCACTGGTAGGTTATTATATGGACGGGTTGTCATAAGCACATACATACATATCATGGTTTATGATATGGACTGTGTAGAAATTAAAATTGGCCTTACATTATTGGCTATTTCTGGACATAGTTTTTACGGAATTTAAAACAGTGCATAGTTTTTGGTACTTTAAAAGCTGAACATAAATTTGTGGTACCTAAATTTATTGGTATTTATTTTATAACTTAACAATTTGACATACAGTTTTGGCTATTTGAAATCCCGATTTTGGTTTTTGGTTTGGAAATTAAATTCTAGAAAAAATGTTTAGAGCCCAAAGACTGGATATATGTTTTTTTTTTTTTAATTTTACAACTGAGTATGATTTTTTCGTTATTTCATTAATTTAATTAATTGTAGCTAATTAAAATCCGGACTTAAATTTTTGGAACTAAAAAAATGTGTAATTTAAAAACTGCACTTAAATTTGTTGCAACTAAACTCTGCACATAATTTTTTATTAATTTAAAACATTCCGAGTGTTTTTTTCATAAATTCGTTAAATAGAAGAGAAAAAGCGTTGAAATACTTTTTAAAGTCAAAAAGCCACTAAAATCTCGAAAATTCTCGAAGCATTGACTGATTTGTTAAAATTTATTGAACACAAATTTTACAGTTTCGAGCTTTTCAGTTAATAAAATAAAAGGGAACCACTTGGGGTAAAAAAATTTAAAGCTACGCAGCTGGCTGACTAAGTAAAACCACAGCAGGAACTTTGAGGAGAGTCGTTTATGCTTTTAAATTTGTTCGAAGCGCTCAGCTAATTTTCCAGAGGGGACTTTACTAGCAGTTATCATGTGCATGTGCTCATATAAATATTCCCTTGTGGTCAGCTGATTAAGTCAAATGACATTTTGACTAGTTTTGGCTATTTTTATTTTCCTTTTTAAGTCTTATATTTTTTTATAAAAGTCTAGCACTTTACCTAACCAGCGCAACATAAGTCCACATATCAATTTTCGTACAAAAATTATGAAAATTTAATAATCTTTAGCATTTGCACCCAAAAATTTAAAAAAATTTTATTCAGAATTTTTAGAAAAATTTTTGGTAAGCAATTTTGTAGCTCATTGAATTTTAGTAGGTCAAAGTGTACGTTTCAAGATGCTAGAAAATTGCATTGATTTTTAATATTTTTTTTTTGGCTTTTATTAAAAATCAACGCGATTTTATAGCGTCTTGAAATTTGTATATAAACCCTATAAAAATTTAATGAGCTACAAAACTGCATACCCAAAAGTTTTCTAAAAATTCTCAAAAAAATTATTATAATTTTTCGGTGAAAATGTTGAAGTTTGTTAAATTTTCACAATTTTTGCGCGCAGTACTAAATGTGGATTTATGTGGCGCTAATTAGGTAAAGAGTCCAAGTTTTATAAAAAAAAATTTTAGCATTAAAAAACAAAAGAAAAATAGCCAAAACTAGTCAAAAAGCCAATTGACTTAATCAGCTGACCACAAGTGTACATACATACATAAACGCAAAATCCGCCTGCGCTGAGTGGTCGACAAAATCAACTTAGTGGCAGTCAAAGGTAAGCCTGTGGCGCCCATCCTCTTACAGCTGGCGCAACAATTTTTAATTACAAACCGCCTGTTTGCTCAGCAAACCTTTCATATTTTGGGAATACCTACTGATGTGAAAATAACTTGCGCAAAGTCCCCAAAAATTTAAAAAAGGATTTTATGATTTTGTGCTTTAATCTTAATTTTATTTTAATTTTCTCTGTGTGTTTTAGTTGCTCTTTTGTCGCTAGGCTGATTTTGAACAAAAACAAAAACAAAAACGAAAAAAAAAAACAATTTTGTCTGCTGTACACTTCTGTTAAATTAACCAATGCAAATTGAAGTGCTAAAGTTCTCCCCAACCCCCATATAAGTAGCAAATGCTTGCAAGTTGCTCGCCGTCTGGGTCACCGTGGCGTATGCGGGTGTGTCAGATCTGCCTATTTCCAAACAGTTCTGCGGTTAGTCCTTTTGGGTTCGCCTGGATATTTTATGTGCTAAGTGAAAAGTTTTATATGTGGCTAATTTGCGCGCACACACACACACACATACAGTGCAGTATTGTAAAGACCCTTTTCAGGGGAGTGTGCATAAGTACAATAGCAAGTCTAACGGCATGTGACTGGAATGGCAGTTTTATAGTTATTATGATATGTATGTACATACATAAGTGGATTCTTATGGGTGGTTGACTTTGTGCCCTCCTTGTAATTTGTTATGACTATAGCCATTAGAGTCAATAATGCGTGCACAAGTAGCTCTTCAAAATGTGCTTAAAAATTATGATGGACGGATTTCGCGATTCAGGGCGAATTTTCATCGAGCCTTGAATTTGAATAAAATTGCACTTACGCATTCAGTTTCGCTTTTACTTAAATACTACGGCTTAGTGCGGTTTGACTTAATTTAAAGTACTTTCACAATTCCATTTTAATTGCGTAAATATGTATAATTTTTTACACAATTTCATTAACTTTATGAGTATATGTATGTATGTATGTAAGCTTGCCGTTTTGTGGCAATATTATTTTAATTTTTTATTTATTTAAGTACGTAGCGTATGCAGGATTATTTAAATTGGCACTTGTGTTATTTATGCTATTCCATAAGTATATATATGTATATATATATAAATGTAAGGGCCATTATATCTGCTTATATGTATACCTACATATGTATGTATGTAAGTTATTTTTATTTATGTATGTAATACGTATGTACAACGTCTCTTTTACATCCGTTCATATGAATGTTTTTATATTTTATTGTAATTGTAGTTGTTATATATGTACATACATAAATAAATCTGCACTTTGTAGTGATTGGCAATGACTTTTTCGGGAAGCATTATTTGTTAGTATTCCACCCTGCTGCTCTCTCTCTCTCCTTTCGGATAGAAGCGAACCTACCTACGTACGTACATATGTACATATGCACGTAAAAACGCATGCAGCCCGGACACAGCATGTTCGAGAGCGTTGACACATCTGCTTGGTTAAATTTATCGTCACGTTTACCAGTCACGTGAACGCGTAGCCTCGTTCTCGGTGTGGAATGTTGTACTGCGACGTGTCTCTACGTATTGGCTTTGTGTTTGCGCTACAATTTGGCCGGAGCGCGGTGGTGGCGGGGGCGCCGGTATACGCGGCTGGAATGTTGTCTGCAAGTCAAATAACAATAGAAATGTGAGTTTTAAAAATAAAATTTCATCAACAATAAGTGCTTATGGCATAACGTTCCGTGCAAAGTGGAAACGTGGCAGTTTTTTTTTTATTTAAATGTTCATTTGCTTTGTGTGGTATGTGTGCACATGTTAACAAATATAGCAGTTTAACTAATAAATCTATATTTGAATTGGCGCTATAACCTCTTCAGCGTCAGCCGATACTTATTGGAAACTCCAAGCGAAGCCAAGTTTTTCTACACCGGATCTTTCCAAAGCATAAGAGGTCTTCTTCCGCTTCGGGCAGCAACTCGCTTGTGAAAAAGTTACCATGATGGCTTGCTATCTTTATTTAATGAGGTAGTAATGTATATCTGACCGCTTCGACAGTCTAAGGGGGTATCGTCGGTATTGAAATGTATGCCATATAGAGTGCTGGTTAGAGTTCTAATAGACACGTTTTTAAGATATATCATTTTCAGGTAACCCAATGAGGCTTTATGCAGCTTTCATATAGAACGTATGGTCACAGTAGTATAGCGTCATCCCTAATTGGGCGAGTATATTACATCTCTAGAAGCCACAATAGAGGTTGAAGATCGATGTAAGAGCGTGGAGTAGAGATTGAGGCTTCTTTTGAATAATAATACTGAATCTGATTGACACTGGGTGTGATGGGAATGGCATCACCTCTAACCCAACCAAAAGTAGTGCTGTGCTCTTCATTCCCCTCACACTTAAATGAGTCACAATTCAAACTTCTCTCGAAGTGAATTACCGGGGAGTAATTCTGGATACAAAACCATCGTCGCAATCTCACGGGAAGCACAAGATCTCCAAAGCATGGCCAGCATTTTGGCAATGTAAACAGATCTTTTGTAAAACGTGGGGTCTGTCACTAAAGGGAATCCTCTGGATTTATATCTCTATGATCAGATCCATAAGCAGCTATGTGTCAGTGGTATGGTGGAGTAGACTCTCAATCAAGAGCGTGAGAAGTCTGCTTGCTAAACTTCAAAGAACTATTCATTGTCGTGTGCTGTACGGGACCTTCCTATACAACAACTGCCGCTGCTCTCGAGGCACTGCTACACTTGCCGTCACTTTGTAACTTCATACGTGGGGAAGCTTTAAAGTCCACCTGCAGACTAAAAAGAAATAGATGTTGGTATAACCCTCAGTGGGACGACTCAGAAATTGCTGGCGGCAGAGATCTGAGTACTTGTGTCTTTTCAATTCCACAGGATAGTACGCCTCAAATTACCTTTGTTAGGAGCTGCGCTCTACTGCAGCGAACTAGAAATTCATAGGTCCCTTTAGCTGCCGAGGTGTTTTCAATAACAAAAGCGGCAGAGATGAAATCAACCCACCGAACGAGCTAATAGACATTTACATAGATAGTAAGACGGCCATTAAGGCCGTTGCAGACTGTAAGGAGGTAACAAGATGGCTAACTGTGACTGAACCGTCTACCTACATTGAGTCCCCGGACAACAAGCGCATAAAGAGTAAAGGGAGAGCTGACGCGCTATCCGAGAAGAGCCACTATTGACGAATATAGCGATTCCTAAGAAGTATGATTATCACGAGGAAAATGTGGAACATATAATATTCAAGTATTCAGCCTTCCTTATTCTAGATTTTTATTTCTTTCTCTCATTTCTAAATCTCATTTTCGTCCTTTTTAACCTACCAAACGCTGCGAACGACGTGATTTCGGCGTAGCTTCCGGCGATGAAAGCTCACCTGGTGCTGCCCAGTGCTCGGTGAATTCACTAGCCGATCGTGCTAGTGACGGATGACTAACCGAACGATGGAACGAGCGTCTATCCTCATCATCGTAGTACTGCGTTGGATAGAATGAGCTCGCATCCGAAACATTATCCAAGTGATCGGGTCGCCCAAAGTCTACCGTTACCTCGGACATTGAACGTAAATCATTTTGATCGGTATGATACGATGTACGTGACGAACGACGTGAACGTTGTATATTGAAACTATTATCACGTAATGGCATGCTGGGATCTTGGCGTATAGTGCGCACAGACAGAACCGCCATCGCTGTCATATTCATACAAAGTTGGCAAAGAGCTGCGACGCGAGCGGGTATCCCACGGTTGTGTCTTCTTTGTGCGTTTGGGTGCGCGCATTTCCACATCCTATCGTCATCGACAGGTGGCGCCAATATACGGATGATAACATCCCAGGTTTGTGGTTCAAAGATGCGCTCGTAGCGTGTGTCTTGACGAATACGTTCGAAGTCTTCGCGCACAACTGCCGCCGTGAGCATAGTACGCAATGACGATTCGGTTGTGATTATATCTTTCCATTTGGCCTTATCGTCATAGCTGATGTAGCGTGTGAGCGGGTGTACGCTGGAATGCACCGAACTGGCGTCATCAGCCTCGGAGAACTCTGGCTCTTCCAAGATACGTATCAGCACATCCCAGTTGGGCACCGCCTTATCTTCTGGGGGCATTTCAATCGGTTTCATATTGCCCACTAGCTGCGGACTGGTCAGCTTTTCTTTGTTGTCATAGATTTGTTGTGGCGGCTCTTGGGGCACAATTGGCAAGCTTAGTTCAGAGCGCTCCATCTTTGGCGTTAGCGTCATGCCGGATGCGCTTGAAATATCCGAGAAGTTCTCCCACCGTTGCTGCTCGCGTTCGGTCGGATAATTACGTATCTTAACATCCCAGGTTGGATCTGGAATTGGTGGTGGCAATGGTTTCGGCTTCGCCTTGTATTCGGTGACACGACGCTTATGGCTCTCAATATCTTCAATCGTTTTCTTTTCCGTAATGGTGCGCAAATACACGTCGTCCACAGTGTGCGATGTGACCTGTGGCTTTTTCACCACAATCGGCGGTTCACGTGGCAGGTACTCAGCTTCGAAGAAGTGCGTGCTATCGACCATTTCACCAACCGAGTGTATATCAGGTGCCTCGGAAGTCATATCCGTTACCTCACTGACTGTAGGTGCATCCGTAAAGTCTGACCAAGTCTCCGGACGGCCGTCGACCATTTCGTGATGTGTGCGTGCATAAACAGAGAACACGGGTTCTGGTGGTGGTGGTGGGTCACTTCCACGGTGTGCTTCGGTGCCGCATGCAATTCAGGAACATAAGTGAACTGACTGTGTACAGTCTCTTTTGTGCTGGCAGTGAATCCATTGTCATAATACTTTCACGGTCTTCATGTGTTCCATAATAGTCGAAAGATTGTTGCGATCTGGGCGGAGTGTGGCGACACTTTCGGTGTCCGAGGTAACAGGCGACGGAGGTGGTGGCGGTGACTTCTTGACACGCACTTGCACGTCGAACTTGGGTGAAGAGGACTCCTTGACGGCAATTGGGTGACGAGGCACTGAGGTGGCCAGTGCATTGGCAGCCTGCACCTCCTGAGTATGGCCATAGTTATCGCTATAAATGCTTGAAGTCTCTTGAACAAATGCACGATTTTCAAAGCTACCTGCGGAGCTAAAAGGCAGTGATCTGCAAAAGCGAGAGAGAGTGAGGAGTAAACTTTAATATGGAGCAAAAATTCAAGATTTTGTACGTACCTCGTATCGATTTCTTCGATTTCGGAATGTGATTCGCTGGGGTAGTCGGAAGGTATGAGCGCACCCTCGCTACCCGAGGAGCTATGCACAGCCGCTATGGGCACAATAGCGCGTGGTATTTTAACGCCTTCAAAGGCGCTTATATTACCCATGCTACTGCCGCTAAGCTTGGTGATTTCCGAACCACTTCCCATGGACATTGGAAGACGGCGGACGACCGGTATTGGGCGGCTGCGCAGACAATAGTATGAAACAGCCAAACCAAGTAAGAGTAATGTCAGGAACATGATGGCGCAAATGATGAGAAGTAACTGTATACCTTTAAGTGGAGGCTGCAGCACTGAGCCAGTGGCAATGGGATTTAAGCTAAAGTGAATATGTAAAAAATGCATTAACAAATTAAATAAGTACTTAAATAAAAAATGCTATATAATAATGAGAAGTGGAGATGCACCTTAGAATTATTATCTCATCGGATATTTATAATCAGATCAACAATAATGAATATTTGAGGCAATGAGTATTTTTTTTTTATTCAAAGGATTTAACTAAAACTTATTTCTAGGTACTGAAGCCAAAATCATAAATAAAAATCAGTCACTGACATTTATTTTTTAAACGATATTTATAAAAGTCGTTAAGAACACTCGTAGTAAACTTTTGTTTCCCAACACCTTCTTAACTTCGAAAAATGTTAATGACTTTTATACGAATGACTTAAAAAATAAAAATCGTTGACTGATTTATATTGATGACTTTTAAAAGTAAAAGTCACTCACTGATTTGTATTGATGACTTTTATAAATAAAAGTCCTGAATAACCGTTATCTAAGACATATAATATAAAAATCAAAAATAATTGTTATTTATTTAATTTTGCATAAAATTTAAAAATAAAAATTTATTTTCAAATTGAGTCTCGGTGAAAAAAGAAATGGATTGGTATGTATCACTTAGTTGTAGAACATTTCCTTCATAATGAATTTTTCCATGACAGTTTTCATCAATAACTGCTATATTCGTTATCTGGTAAACTTCAATCTTTTATGCTTGGTATGAATATTACAATAGCGAAAATGTATGATTTTTTTGTTTTAAAAAATGTCAGGCAAGCATTGCCTCTATTATCACACTCGAAAAAACGATTCCAATATTTTACTTAAACTTAGCCTTTTTTATATTAAAGAGGTATTCATTATATTCTCCGAATTTTTTACTTACATAGGCGCCGGTAAAGCTGGCGGCAGTGATGGTATGGGCGGTGGATAACGACAAACGATCGTAATAATCTCATCGCCATCCATTTCCAGATTGGCGTGGAAGCGTACGATAATATTGTTGGTGAATACGCGTGTAGGATTCTGAAATATATTTTCAGTGGTAAAATATTAATCATATATAAATACGTGTATCTAATACTATGACCAAAAGAAAACCATACCTGTATAGTGCCACATCCTTTGAGTGGCAACTCCAATCTATAACTAAGTGCCCCCTTGCCGCTGACGCGACATGCGCTACTACGATCATAATCGGCTTGTATGATGCCATGGAAAGGTTCATTAAATTTCATATCCACCTGAGGAAATATGCAGTTCAATTTTATTTTTATTTTTTAATATAAAATTAAGACTCCACTCACCTGCATTGAACCGGCCGCACAATTTAATGCTGCTTTTGTGCGATTCAAAAATATCAGCGGACTAATATCATCCAGTTTTGTGACCTGAAAAATAAAATCAGATTAAAAAGTTGCTGGTTATGCATAAAGTTTTACTCATTTTTTTTTCAACATTATTCGACCTGCAGTACATTAAAGCCTCTCACTGCCTCATTTAAGCTAATCAGCTTTGTCGCCTTACAGCTAGCTCATCACCCATTTAAAAGCGAATGAATGGGATAAGTGTTGGGCAAAAACGCTTGCGGCAACCACAATGTCATTGTTTTCGAAATAAGCGTAAAACCTCAACTTGGTATCATTGGCCCGCATCTTGGCAACATTATATAAGACTTGCTGTTGCATCCAATGACTTCCTAGCACAGAGACACAAAACTATGCTCCATTGAGTTTTTTTTTATATGTATGTATAGGTACATTTATGTATTTTCGCAAACACATACCCAGCTACACACAAACAACAATGTACACTCATGGCAACTTCAAAAACAAAGCACATTTTACCTTCCTGCTTGACTAGCGGACTGACATTGAGTTCATGATGCTGCTGAGAGCATTGAAAATTTACATTCGCGCGGGTTTTTTATGCCAGTCAAGTAGCGAGCTCGCGAAGAGAAAGTACTTAGTAATTAATTTAGATAGCATTTTATTGTTTTGCATTGCCAAAGGTAACTGTGGAGTAGTAAAGTAGTTAGCGCCAACCTACATTAGAAGAGCTGCCAGTAAAATTTGAAATGCAATGAGAATGGCGGGAAATGTTGCTTGCACATTTGAACACACATTGTTGGATAGGAGATGTAAAAGTTTTGAAAAGTGTGGTTGCATGCATAGTATGTACATTTAGGTGGTACAAAAATATTCAGGAAAATTAAATTTTTAAGGTTGTCCCCTCAGAATTGTAGAAAATGTAACAGGCTAACCTAATATTCGCGGCTTGCGTTTTGGTACGCATGCCGTCGAATTTAATTTTTTGCGTCACCCGAAATTGACTTGCATGCGTTTGCATTTGATTTCATTGAGCGAAACGTCAAATCAAAATGTCACGCAGAACAAAAATTGGAAATTGAGTTAGCTTCATACGCACGCCGTTCAATTTCGGTTGATCTCATACAAGTTGCATGTGCATGAGAAATTTTTGACAATAAATTGGCGGCGTGCGTAAATATTAGGTTAGCCTGTAAGGAAAAGAAGTCTGCATTTTTTTTATTTTAAACTCGATCAATATTTCACACATTTTACATGGGAAAATCAAATTTTTTTTAAAATTGCTATAAAATCATTAGACGTAAATATTTTTTGACTGAATAAGAATTTTTCGCTTAGAAGTTTACAAAAATTAAATGTTGATGTATTTCAACTTTAAAATTTTACAAATTTTTTTCTCATAACCGATAATATTATCTTTTCTGTAGAAAAATGTACTATATTTTTTGTTCTTTCATTCTTTTTATGCAGCATAATTTAATTACGTTATAATAGTAACGATTTTATAGCAAATCTGTGAAAAATGCATTTCCTTCATATAAAATACATGGCAAAATTATGTGCTAACCACTTTCAAAATAAAAATTTTCTTCAGTTCTGGGAAATGTCTGCAAAAAAAAAACGTTGGACATATACGATTGCTTCTTTATTAATCGTAACAAAAACAGTATATGTAAATTAAAGTTCTATCAAGAACTGAATAAAAAAGTTTAAATATATCTATATATGTGCTTACATATGAATCACTCCGTATAATTCTCTCTACATGAATATGTATGGATGAATATTAAAAGTGAAAAAGGGTCGGCCTTGGATATCTCAGTGACAAAATAGATTATTTTGCCTCTTAGCTATATCAAGCGCTGCGCGTCTCTCAGCATTGAAAAAAGTTGGCCAACAGCGGGTGGAAAGTCCTCAAATCCTCCTCTCTAACTAACTCTGGGAACCCATGCTGCAAGACAAGGACAACACTTCTTGTCGCAGCATAGTATGGCATCTGCTTTGTAATTGCATCTGCGGTCTACCAGACATAAGATATATTATCTAGCCCACTACAACTTCACGGGCTGGATCTGAGCGGAGTAACCAAGCTCAGCTCTTTTCTTGTTATATTTTATTTTTCAAGTTAAATTGCGAGTTGTGGTTTTAAAAGACCTTTTGTGGAGTTCTGTTCAGTCCAAAGTAGCTCTTGGTGACAAGAGTGATTCTAGACTATATAAAAATGTGTGTATACATTCAACTACTTATTTCATGAAATGTTACGCTCGTAATGCTTGCATAAAAGCTTTACCTAATTCCCTCATTAAATTCAAATATTAAGTATCCTATCTGTTGAGAATTTGTCCTAATTTATTGAGCATAAAATATTTAACATTTACTGCAACTGAACACATACCTTTCCATCCAGTGTTGCCTCCTCGGGCAAGCCGTTTGTTGTGTAGTTGCCGCTGTCGCCTTGTTGCACATAATTCGATTGAGCTCGCGCACCATTGAGCTGTATCGTCACACAAAGCGCTAGCAGCAGACACCACAGGGCAGCAGCTTCGCCCATTCTCGTTGAATATTTTTGTTGTGCGGAAACTTTGAATTTTCTTTTACTATGGTAATGAAATTTTAACATCTGAAAAAAAGCAATAAAAGTTACATATAATAAGAAGTGTCTTACAAGCCAAAACAAAAACATAAATTTAAAGCTGATCGTATGTACATTTGTACATATATGTATATTTATTTAAGGAACTGTTGCGCAAGATAATTAGCCACAAAAAAATGGTTCGGTAAAAGTCGCCTTTGACTAGTTGAAGCTTTAGAGATGCTTTAGACTCTTAGCCATTAAAACATTGCAACTCAAAAAAAAAAAAAGGTTCAGAGGCAATGTAGTATGTTATACCTCGCAAATATTTCGATGTTTTGCAAGCCCTCGGTATGGCGCACCGCATGCAAAGTAATCAAATTAAATCGAATTGTGTGCGTCGTTTGCTTGCCTCGTGCCAGCTTACAACTCATAAAACAGCGTAGAACCTCATTTGCAATTTACTTAACCCCACTTAAGTGCGTGCACATGCAAATATATTTACATGGTCTTTGTTATAGTTTTTCTGAAACAGACATTTGTGCTCCTACATAAGTATGCTTAATAGTTTTTTAAACTTTTGGAATGTTTGCTAAAAGTTAACCTTTACGTATTTAGTTCGAAGAATTAAGATTCAGACATATGTAGCATGAATATCTGTACAAAAAAGATCGGTGCGGGTTTTTCCGTCGCATTTATAAAATTTATTATATTTTAAGACTTCCGCCAAAATATTTCCGAAAATTTTAAGATCTTCATTAGCAGCACCGATTTGAAAATACCTCAAAATTTTCGAGTCTTTATAAATAAAATTAGCTTTTAAAAATATTATTTCCAAAAATTTGCCTCAGATGATAGAAAAGTTTGAGGTTAAGAGGTCTGCATAAATATTTTAAACATTTTATCAACAAAATCAAAAGAATTCGAATTCGGAGGTATTTTCAAATCGGGCCAGCACACGCCGATCTTAAAATTATTTTCGAAATATTTTGACAGAAGTCTCAAACTATATAATTCCTGCAGATAACCGCTGCTTCTTTGGAAAAACTTGTAATAATCTTAATTTAAGTTATTTTAATATTCGTCAAAGGCTAAGAATATTTTTTTTATTTATTAGAATTTTTTTTTATTTAACCAAAAACAATTTTTTTTTTTATTCTCCTTCTGAAGATCAACCGCCGAAGCAATTTTACAATTTTCCTTATAACTTTGGATCACTCGCATGCTTACTTTTCTAAAATATTTTCAGATCAAGTGGTTACAACCGATGGGTCGAGTGTGCCTATTTAGCCACATAAGGGCTAAAGGTTCTTACATATGTTTGTATGAATATTTGAAGGCTTAAGTAAATGTAGATTTGCTTTTAAACGACATTTGCATAGATCGTAAAATTTTATCTATGTACCAACATGCACAACAATTCCATTAAGAGACCTGTAAAAAGTACATACATACATAGGTACGGATAGCGGACTGCGATAGAATAATTTTTGAAGAATTCGAAATGCATACCATCTCTAGATTTTCCTTAAATAGCGTTTTGAGTTCACTCTTACCGAGTTGGTGTTGAACCTTTGGTCGTCGGGATGTAAGGCAGTGATCGAAAAAAATTGCCGATTTCTTCCAAGAAGCTGGTTCAAAAGTTATTAAAGCTGTTACAAAGATTGCACGGGTTGCAAAAAATTGTTTTATTCCAATGTAAAACAATCTCAAAAATCCATATTTTATCAACCACGACCGGAGTTAGACTATCTCCTTAGGAAAATATAATGCTAAATATGTAGATAACCCATCCATGGTCGCAAGGCTCTAGTCGAAGTAGAAAGAAGGCCTTTTTTTAAGTAGTTTCTTAAGATCAAGTCAGCGAGAGATGAATTTCGAGTTGTAAAAGAGACTACAAAAATGGTCAATAAAGAAAATATTATTAGGACGAAAGCACCCTATATTTTCAGCAAATAAAGTTTGCGATTGCGAGACATTCTATATTCCACCGTCACTGGATAATTGCTGGTGCCTTTAAAATGTTTTGATGAAGGTTTTACTCTTTGTCAGGGATTGAAATGAATTCTTATTCGCAATTTCTTGTTTACGGTGCCGTCAAATGATGATGTATATGTACGTACTCTTGTAATAATAAATGATCTTAAGCGCATATTTTCTAATTTACAGATAATATTATTACAGTAATAGGTAGATCTATAAAAATCATGCCAAGGAAATTTAGGGTTACACCATTCTCTATGCACATTCACTGGGGACCCAAAGAAAATGGCTGTAATCAATTACTCAAATATTTGCCAAAATGCCGCACACAAGCGGGTTGTAGCGACCGCCATTAAAATAACGGTTTTACCTCACAGACGATTGCATGCTGAGTATCTAGGTCGTGTTACATGCACGCATATACATACATACATATGTATATTGTGCCGCTTTGATTGATTCTCTATGCAAATTCCATTTAATAAAATGAAAACTGTTGCACACGTGCTGAACGTTGCTGCCATAAATATAGCAATATGCGGCTTGGTAATTAAATTATGTAACTAATTAAATTAAGTAGTTTGACGATGAAACGTAACATGTATGTATTAATGTATGTATGTGCATACATATATGCTGTGCTGCGGTTATGAAATACCGAAGCCTTTGTTGTTTGTCCAACACATTTCAAAAAGCAAAAAGATGGGAAAAGAAATTACAAATTAAATAACACACCAACGTGATACGTAGTTGTATGTTTGTTCGATCCAATTTGATAAAACTTTTCCTAAGAGGCATTGTGACTTTTGAATTCTTTACATTTTTAAATATTTTTTTAGTTAAAAAAGCAAGTTATGTAACATTTTCTTGAAAAACTTTCCATCTTCGTATGTATTACAATTTTAACACACTTTTAAGTAAAGCGATTATTGTTTCTGGTGGTTTTAATGTGCGTCTGCGCGCGCACTTACTACTATTTGCATATATGTATGTGTGTAAGTAGTTGAGCAACACAATGAACCGGAAGTGGAAGCGAAGGAGGAAATCTCACTGCAACTTACAACATCATTTGATTAGTGATATGAGCATACCGTTAAAAATTAAAAAAAAAAGAAAATATGTATACACGTGAATGTTATAGTCTACTCCACTTAACTCCTCATTTAAGATATCTCGAAAAATAGAAAAACTTCAGATTTCTTCTACAACTCTAACGGTTAGGCTATTTTAACAAACTTTTCAATGAACACACTAAATTGGAGGGCTGTAAGTAGCTCGATGTTTAAAGCTTGATGATCAAGCAAGCATTTGTTGTACGTGGCTTGGCGAGAAAATTCGCAAAAGTAAGAGCAAGGAGTGTGAAATTAGAGACAAAAATGGTCCCCCCTCTGCATACATTATTTCTTATAGCCTATTTTCACCAAACCACTATGCTGTAGTAAAGTTTTTTGATCCTGTCTAATAGAGTTTAATAACTATTATAAATAAAAGCTGTTCTGTATCTGCTCTATTGTTAATCTCATTTTAAAATCGAACAATTTAAAATTGTAAATATTTGTCCTTCAAACAATCACCTTATTTTGCAACCAACTGCATTCACCTCAGAATGTAACAAAGCAATGATGCATACACGCCTACATATGTATATACATAAATACATAAGCACAGATCGTTCTGGGCAGCTGCAAATCCAGTTTCTTTTAAAAACCTTGTTTAGTTTAAGCCATAAAATGTTTTCTTAGAAAACGAAAAGTTCAGAGTACAACCAAAAACTACAGAACATAAACGCAAGCAGCAGGAGGTAGTATTTCTGCAAGCCATGAGCTACACAAGTAAATGTTTGTAGATAAGTACATACATACGTATGCAACTGCAATTGGTGGTAGCAGTATATTGGTAAATTGGACAAGTTTATTGACTTTCGGAAGAGTGATATTCGGCTACACTTGCAGCTGTATACAAAATTTGACGTTAACAAGAAAAATCTCATGACACCAATTTACTAATTAACTTTGTGTCATTTGGAAAGGAAATACCACGTGTGCCGCAATATTCTCAAATGTATTCTCATTTCTATATTAACGTATTGGTGGGTAAAAAAGGAAGACATTTAAGTCTTTACTTGACATTCCTTAAAATGAACTACGTATTTTTACAGGTTGTCTCACAGAACATAGCATATGGAAAGTCAGTGAAGCTTAAGCTTGAGTTATGGTTCAGTGGTCTTCGTCGCTTTTGGGAGAGCTATTCATTGAGTGAGATGCCGTCGCAGAAAACCGTAATAATGTCAGCACAGGATGAGCTAATTAAAAGTGAAAATATTTGCTTTCGAGTATATCGATGGCTTAGTGGAAAATCGCCCTTCTCGGCAGCCAGTTCAAAAACGCCTTATCTAAGAAAATTTTTAAACAACGGCCTATGTCATAATAACTCCCTATTTTAGAGTTTCATTTAAAAACACCCGATGAACTAAAAATACTCTACAAACTGTTAAAATCTGCAATTTTATTTGATATTTGAAACTCGGGTTACGAATCTGTGAGACTTTGAAAGAAAAACACGATATCAACGCTATGACAATTCAAGTTTTATTCTCGAGTATAAGAAACTTAAAGTACAGTGTAAGCACAGAAACAGAAAGATAAATGACAATGTCAAAGAAGATAATGAGTATGAATTAGGGTTGCATTTAGGAACGGTTAACAAACTCCGAACCAACCTCAATTCGTTTTTCGAAATACAAAAACAACTTTTACAAAAATTTCAAAATTAGAAAAATTATTACAGAAACAAATGTTTACAAAAAGTCTCATGTTTAATCTTAGCTAAACTTTTAGTTAAACCATCAGCTAAGTTATTTGTTGTAGAAATATGCCTTATATCAATTTCTTTCATTCTATGTTTATCTTTGATGAAGTGAAATCTTATATCTATATGTTTACTGCGCTTCTTCGTTGCGTCGTTCGTTGCAAGGAATAAGGCTCCTTGGTTGTCGCAAAAAAGAGTTGTAGGATTTTGGACATATTTCTCAAAACCAATTTCATTTAAAATACTTCTTAGGAA